TGCTATGTTGCTTAGTCGTCTCAGTCTCCAATGGTTGTAACCTCCTTCGCTGTTCTTAGTTGACACAGTTCTGTGCATTTCCTTTTATGCTTATAGCTGTTGTCACAACCTGGCTCTAAGCATTTATGGTGTGATTTCTAAGTTTCTTTGAAACGACACACTTGATGAACACACTTAGATTATTTCCTATTTTTTATTATGCAAATCAAAGCAAAAGCCACTTTATGGAACTTATACTTTAAAAGAATACTTTATACTTTTAAAGAATAAAAGAATTTTAACTCCCAAGATTAGTAGGTGACATGGTCCTTATTGTGAATGCCCATTGTGACTATTCTAATCAACCAGCTTTTTTATTTTATGTACTATTAAAATGGACAAATTTTGGTAATTGTTCTACCAAGAAATCTAACATTTACATTTCAATCTATATTTGGAAAACAGGGAGACCTGGGAATCTGTTTCAAAAGCCATATTATAATGGGGGTTTGTCAGCTCCAAAATGTGTTATTCTATGCAGAGTTGCTCAAAGCCTTCTCATTTCACTCCTTTGAAAGGTTTCATCTTCTTTAAAGGAAGAGGTTAAACTGGGTGCAAAAGACCTTAATTTTCTCTCTGTTGACTTTGTCTCACTTATTTTAAAACAGTAACCTCTAGGCACTTGCCTGTGAAACTGACATTTTAATGAAATCTTCCAAGTGTTAACAGCTGTACAATACTCAAAGCTTCCTACCTTTTATTAAAATTCAATTCAGTCTTCCTTCAGAGATCTGTGGTTAGTTGGTCTTTTGCATATCCAGAAAGAAGGTATTGCAGTAAAAATGCCAAATAAATAAGTTAATCACCTATTTCATGATCCCATCCCATCATTACTATCTATAGAGGAGATGGAAAGCTTAACACATCAGAAGCTCTGAACACTAGATTAAGGATTCCTTTAGAGAAGATAAGGAAAATAACAATATTTCCACTATGTTTAGATGTTACACATTGATAGTGCCTGCTGTGTGTTAATTTGGTATTATTTTGGCCTGTTCCTTGGAAAGCAGAGACTCTGCCATTTGAAAGCAGATACTAGATTTTCTGCTCTCTGACTTTCTATGCAAAGATTCAAATCTTTGTATCCATGAAGTATTAGCTTTTTTTAAATATCTCATTTATTATTTTTATTTTATGTGTATGTGTGTATTGTCTGCATGTAGGTAAGTACACTTGTGTCGCGCAATGCCTGTGGAGGACAGAAGAGGCTGTTGGATGTCCCAGACCTGGAGTTACAGTTGTTAGCTGCAGTGTGTGTGCTGGGATTCAAACCCATCTCTTCTGCAAGAACAGTGTTCTTAACCACTGAGCCATTTCTCCAGCCCTGTATTAACTCTTAAAGAATTTCTGCCCTGCTGTATCCAACCAGAACACAAATATCTGCAACAGCAGCTTTCAGAAATTTAGACAGCAGGCTGTGCAATCCGTGGCTCCAGAGAGAGGGAAAACAAATGAGATGGGTCCTGCGTTCACTGTCTCAGCCTTACAGCTGGAGGCAGCAGCTAGACTCTGGCATGGGAGAGGAATTAGAGCCAGGCCCCTTCGCTGAAATAAAGGACAAACCAGGGTAGCCGCATAGCAAGACAGTGAGGACAGTGAGACAGTGATCCCAAGGAGGGAGCTGTGAGAGAAAGAGCTCTTGAAATCTGCTCAGGCTTCACAGGAGGCTGGGCTGACCTCTAACAGAGTAGACTAGAAAAACTTTCTAGAAAATTAGTTTTCACAGAAGCCATAAAATGAATAAATCTCAGTGTCTGTGTAAGGCTAGACATCATTTTATTTTCCTCCAGCCAGAATAAAGCAATATCACATAAATACATTGGCATTCAATAGAAACTTCCAGAAGAACTGCACTTAGTTCTCAACCTCTATCTTAAAAGTTTTTTAAAGTCTTAAAAGGATCAAATTGATATGTAAGTGATTTTACTACAAACACAATACTCAGCAATGCAAAATTTCAGAATATATGACCAACAACTAAAATTAACCAGACGTGAAGAATCAGGAAAAGATCCCACCACCTCAGCTAACAAAGACCTAGAAGTGACAGAAATGATGAAGTTATTACAACAATGATCCTTATATTCAGGAAGGAAAAGGAGCATGGAAAGGATACAAATTAAATTGAATGTCCAGAGATGCCTATATCCAAAATGCAAAGTCCATGTAGAAGGAATTACCAGAAGATAAAGCACTACGGAAGAAAAGGTCTGTGACACTGACCTATGTAGCATTTAAAATGATTCAAAATTAGTCTGAAGAGATGGCTCAGAGGTTAAGAGCACTGGCTTCTCTGGCAGAAAACCCAGGTTTGGTTTCCAGCACCCACATGGCAGCTAAGAACCATCTGAAACTCCAGTTCCTAGGGATCCGACACTCTCTTCTGGCCTCTGTGGGAATCGCATGGCATGGGTGCACTTACATACATGCAGACAATACAGTCATCACACGTAAAATAAGAATAAATTTAAAAAAATTTTAGAGGGGTGGAGGACAGAAAAAAACTAATGACCATTTTTTTTCAAATTTGATGAATACTGTAAATGTACAGATTAATAAATGAGCGATTTCCAAGCAGAATATGATAAAGAAAAGCAAGATGTATCTTAAATCATTGAAAAGCATGTACAACAGAAACTGGCAGACACACAGAGGAATGTGAGACATATTCCATACAGAGGAATCGAGACACAAGTATGCCAGACTTCTTACACCACGTAAAAATCAAGGTGAAATGACCTCTTCAGACATACAAAAGTGGAAAGAATTTGTTGCCAATACATCAGTACAACAATAAATGTTTAAGGAAGTCCCATGGACAGAAGAAAAGTGATTATGTATAAATACCTAGTGTGATACAAATCCTTTTACAGAGTCGTGTTATGTGGAGAACAATGACGAGGAAGGTCTGTAGGTGTTCAACAGGTGCAAAGATTCCCTAAATACTGATTTTCAGTTTGTTGACTCTGCCACAGAGGCGACCTGTACTGTAAAAACACTCCATGCAAAGGCTTTTAAACAATCATAAAAGGTTTGTTGATAATGGCTAAACACTAGAAACAAGCCAAATTTCTTTTAGTAAGTAGATTGTGGATCCGTGCATAGAAATACTACTCAACAGGATGAAAATGCCATGGTGAAAATGCCATGGTGAAACTTATTGTACAACTTTGTATGTTAACCTAAACGATTAATTTTTTAAAAATACTCAACAATACAGATGAACTACCATTTAATATGCAAAGTCATATAGTATATGGTTCTAGTAATATACTACAAAAATCAAATATGATCTACGGTTATAAAAGTAAGGTCCTTGGTTACCTAGTGAGTAGCTCAGATAGGACTGAGGAAGTCTGAGGGAATAATGGGTGTCTTCATTCTCAGCCCTCAAAACTCATCACATATCCACTGAAATAATGATTGTTGGGGTTTATTATTAGAACAGACAAGGAACTAGATATAAATGACAACTATGGAAAATGTGATGAATCTCTAGAACAACTAATTTCATAATTTCCTCTGAACAAGTTTTAAGGGATGTGAATAGTCAAGAGAATGGTAGAATGTGCCTTTTGGTTCTTAAAAGAGAATGAGTATCACTTAGTAATCAGTCAGTGTGCTGAGTAGTTTGGGTTTTGTTTTGTTTGTTTGTTTGTTTGTTGGGGGGGCAATTGGGGACTCTTTTTGAGACAGGGTCTCCCTGTAGCCCCAGCTGGCCTGGAAGTCACTATGTAGACCAGGCTGGCCTCGATCTCACAGAGATTCACCTGCCCCTGCCTCCCAGCTGATGGAACTAAAGGTGTGCGTGCCACCACGCCTGCTTTGAATGGTTCTTTTGTTTGTTTCTTCCTTGCACCATCTCTGTGTGTTAGAAACTCATTCTATATGTGAGAAAATGTGAAGCTGAAAGAAGTAATTCCCAAAGATGAGCCAAGATACAATCCCAAAATGTATTCCAAAGCCTATTTTTTCCCCTTATACTGGCATCATCTTTAAATGTTTGGCTGCTAATGTGAAGGTTTGGGCTGAAAACTTTATTTAAAAGATAGACTTGAGAATTATTCTCAAAGAACATTTTCTGACACTCATTTTACTGACCGAGGCTCTGTGCATGGAAACTACTGAAAAGATAGGAAATACAGAATTCTACCCTGACTGTGCAGAAAATCCCTCAACTAGGTAGCTTAAAATACCTCCCTTCTAGACTTTTGTTGGAAAATTCTAAGATGTTCATCTTTGGCTTTAGCTGAACTCCAATGTTCGAAAGAACCTGAAAGAGACTGGTTTGTGTGTATCACAGTGTGTTCATGTTGTACAATAGAATGCTTGGGCATAGTATACTTTAAGTTGATCATCCTCAAGAGCCTCAGTTATTAGCATGCTTTGGGAAGATGTCATGCCCTGGGAGTTTTTTGAAAACTCTGGATACCAAGAACCATCTCATGTAGATCATCTCCACAGCCTTTGGCTACTTAATAAAAACTTACCAAATAAAACTGAGACTTGACTCACCAATATCAAGAACTCTACCTTCTATTCCTGATAAAGTGTCTCTGTGGCCCCCTCAGAAAGACAATCCTTGCACATTTTTTTTCTGTCTTATTGAAACAGGTCTCACTGTAGCCCCAGCTGACCTGGAACTCGCTACGTAGACCAGGCTTGGCCTCGAGCTCACAGAGATCCGCCTGCCTCTGCCTCCCAAGTGCTGGGATTAAAGGTGTGCACACCACGCCCCACATCTTTGCATATTTTTTAATATCTGAAAAATAAAGTCCCTTGACCTGTTTGAAGTTCCACAAGTCAGTTCCCAGAATACCCTTCAACTAAAGCTGAAAAAGTATGTTCTTAAATCTTCTTTGAAAATGTTTGAGTCACACTAATAATAATAGGAATAATAAAGGGGTTCCGATTGATAATAAATTCTAATTCACGTATGTTTGTGGATCTCTTTTGCCCAGATGTGACAGTGGTTTATCAAAATGGGTTACCCGTGATATCTGTGAGGCTCCCGTCCCGGCGTGAACGCTGCCAATTCACTCTCAAACCTATCTCTGACTCCGTTGGTGTATTTTTACGACAACTGCAAGAAGAGGATCGGGGAATTGACAGAGTCGCGGTCTACTCACCAGGTAGTCACCTTTGTTTTTCACACACACACACACACACACACACACACACACACACACACACCACTGCAAAAGAATACCATGCTTTACCTTTAGAAAACAGGAGTTTTTTGCTTGGCAGGTACAGGAGAGAAGTGCTTTCCCTCCTGTTGGTTCTTAGAATTTGATTGTTGGGCTTTAGCAGCTGTGCACACAGGAAGTCTCATGTAAAAACAACCCACTTACGATGCCATGGCCAGGATGAATGGGCAATCACATTTTATGGTACTGAGGCCTTCTATCATTACCTTTGATGCAGAATACATTCTTCCAGGAATTGAGCCCTCATTTCTGGAGCCATAAAATATTAGAGCCTCTTTTAAAATCTCATATTTTACTGGGTGTGGTGGCACACGCCTTTCATCCCAGCACTCGGGAGGCAGAGGCAAGCAGATCTCTGTGAGTTCAAGGCCAGCCTGGTCTACATAGTGAGTTCCAGGACAGCTGGGGCTACAAATAAATAAATAAATAAATAAATAAATAAATAAATAAATATATTTTTCACTTAAATGTTTCCCAGAAGAGTCTATGATTTGAGAAGAATGTGAAATAAGGCACTAAAAACTCCCATTTGATGTGCCATCTGTTTATTTTTCATTACTTTTTTCACTGTGACTTAGAAAATTTTCAAATCTACAAAAAATTTGGAAGACTAGTACAGCATAGTAACTACTCACTTTCTCTTCACTTAGATTCACCAGTCGTAACACCTACCACCTTTCTGTCTTTTTGAGTATAAATTTCTGTGCTTTAAATATTCTAAACTCATCTAGTAATATACTTAGCAGACCAGCTTGGTGTTCTTTCCTCACTACAGCACCCATCTCTACTGAATTAGCAGCTTATCAGTGACTATACTGACAAGTACCACATGAGAGAAGACACTGAGTTTTTCACTCAGCCAATTTCCATCATAAGTGAATGTAAGAAGTCCACACAGCTCTGCAAGAGGCCTCAGATAGCAGCTGACACCTGAAGATCTATGACCAGCCAGTATTCCACTGCTGGCACAGCTAGGGGAAAACAGAAACCCTAAGAGCATCAGTCACCTGAACTCTGTTTAGCACAGAACTGAGAATTGAGACAAAAAAAATTAACTGACACATACTGATCATTAAAAATGATCATTTAAAAATGTAGTGTGAAGGTAGATTTTTTTTCTGACTACTTTTAAATAACTATGGATTTATGACAAATGTTATTTAAATTTTTCACAGATGGTGTTCGAGTTGCTGCCTCTACAGGGATAGATCTCCTCCTCCTTGATGACTTTAAGCTGGTCATCAACGACTTAACGTATCATGTACGGCCACCAAAGAGAGGTAAAAACAGCCTTGATCAGGTTTTTAAAAAACGTGGGAAGGGTTTTGGAAAAACTTCAGTTTTTCTCTTGGATAACCTTAAGAAAAGGACAATATTCAAACATTACGTTTTGCATACAGTTGGACTTCACTTCAGCTCGAGAGCTCAAAGGGCACCTGGCACCTGGCACCTGGCACCTGGCTGGTGTATTAAAACACTGAATTTCCGCCTAGATCCTGGAAGGAATGCTTGCTAACTTGGTGTTGTCACTCAATTTCACATAAATGAATGTCTTAAGGTTCTTCCCTTTGCCTAAGCTAAATGTCCTACTGTTCTCACTCCCTCTGGTTTTTTATTACATTTATTTATTTGTATATATTCATGTGCACACACAGAATGGGGGTGAGGCATGCCACACCGCACTTGTGGAGATCAGAGGGGGACAACTTACGGGGGTTAGTTCTCTCCTTCCACCATATGGATCCCACAGATCAAACTGAGGGTCACCAGGCTCGGTTGGCAGCAGACGTGTTTACCCACTGAGCCTATCTCACCGGCCCTGTTTTCGGTTTTTTTTTAATATTTTATTTATTTTTATTTTGTGTGTGTATGAGTGTTTGCCTGTGTGTATGTAAGTGTAGCACATGCATGCAGTGCCCGGAAGAGGAGGTTTAGGTATCCTGAAACTATAGTTACATGAACGGTTGTTAGCTGCCGCGTTGGTGCTGGGATCTGAACCTGGGTCCTGTGGAAGAACAGCAAGTGCTCTTAACCACTGACCCATCTCTCCAGCCCTTTATTTGTTTGTTTGTTTGTTGTTTTTTAAGGAAATATTTCTTTTAGTTTACAGCTCTAGAGGGATACCATCCATCATGGAGGTGACCTCTCATTCTTACAACTTGAAAATAATATTAGGCAATCATTTTTTTAAATAAAGGACATCTCTGTTTTCTTAATCATTTTGGTTTTTTGATGGTTTAAGTTCAGCAGCCTGAAATTCAATTAGTGTACAGATGTTCCTTGACTTATAGTGGGGTTAATGAGGCCAGTGGATTTGAAAATACTGTAAATATTGATGCATCTAATACACCTGACTTCAAAGATCACAGCTTAACTTAGTTTACCTTAGATGTATTAGATCATAAGCACATCTGATGTGATTGAACAAAATCATCTAACACAAGGCCTACTTCATGGTGAAATGTTGATGATCTCAAGTACAACATACAGAAGGGCATTTTTTGGACGTAATGGGATGCAAAAACAAAACCCAGTATATCCAAGAAACAATGTCAGTCGGAGCAGTGTCCTGTGGATTACTGAGTGCTTAGCCTCATATCACAGCTGACTAGGAGCAGCAATTTAAGATCGCTGCCCAGTATGGGAAGAGCGTATTGTACTGTACATCATTAGTGTTGGAAAAGATAAAAATCTCAAAATGAGTAGTGTGGTTTCTGTCTAGTGAATAGTGCCTTCTCAACATTATGAAACTCAAAAAGTAAGTCTTTAGGGCTTCCTATAGTCCTTAGGAATTTGACTTACATATACTTTCTTATATCAGGGAAACAAATTGAGGTTCAACTCAGGTGAACATTTCAAGAGCATACCCAAAGACTCAATAACCAAGATGAATAACATCTCAATGCTCTCTCTTTAAAAAAAAAAAAAAAGTTAAAACAAAATCCTTGATTCAGAATTACCCGTTTTTTCTGTTCATCCTGGCTCCATTGTAATTCTGCGTAGTTCTGCTCAGTACAGATGCTCAGTAGCTCTCTAAAATATAGTTTTGTCTTATGTCTATTTGAACCATTTGTCTCTCTTTGTCCTTGGGATTTATTGTCATTTACTGCTGCTGTTAACGCCCCCTCCACTACCACTGCTCCTTCCATTTATCCCCTAAGACTTCTCTTTTTAACCCTGCTCTTAAGAATTGGATCTAAGGGCTGGAAGAGATAGCTCAGTGGTTAAGAGCACTGGCTGCTCTTGCAGAGGACCCAGGTTTAATTCCCAGCACCCACATGGCAGCTAACAACTGTCTGTAACTCCAGGTCCAGGGAATCCAATGCCCTCTTCTGGCCTCTGTCAGCAGTGGTATGCTTTCATGTGGTAAGCTTACATACATGCAGGCAAAACACTCATCTGCATAAAATAAAAATAATAGTTTTTTAAGAAGAATTGAATCTAACAGAGAAAGTTCAGAGTAAAAGCCTAAATTTTAAGTACTTCCATAGTTTTGTGCACATCCACCTTATCAGTTTAGCCCTTTCCCTCTGACGGGGCAACTGCCTTCTCTCCACCCCTTTCCTTTGCTCTCTTTTGAGTTCTATTCTTTGCCATCTCTCTTGGTTTACTTTTCCTCTGCCCGAGATGCCTTTCTCCCTCCTCAATCTCCTCCATTTTCTCACGTCAAAACCATCAATATCAGCTCATCATGGCATCTTAAATGATCCTGTTTGTTCTTCCTCTAACTCCAAAAGCCCAGAATGAGAGAAGCGTGGCACTCAGGAAAGAAGTGAGCTTCCACATATAATGTCACAAACCAAAGGTCTTAATTTGACAGCGTGCCTCCGAAGTGCTGGGATTAAAGGCGTGCACCACCATGCACGGCTTATTTATTGTTTTTATTTTATGTGTATGAGTGTATTTCCTGAATGTATGTAATTGCACCCGTGTCGTGTAATGCTTGCAGAGGTCAGAGAGTGTCGGATTCCCCTGGAACTGAAGTTATAGATGTTATTAGTCACCATGTGGGTGGTGGGAATCAAACTCGGGTCCTCTGCAAGAACAGCCAGTGCTCTTAACCGCTGAGCCATCTCTCCAGCCCCAGCCACTGCTTTCTTAGTGAAGCATATGTAACTCAACCATGGACAAGCCATATCTCCTTGTCAAGAAATCCTGACAAAGTAAAGCATAAACTCTTGTGTCCACCAGGGCTTTACTGAGGCATAATCAGAAGTTTCGATAACTGTATATACAGCCAGGTCTAGAATGGCATATCTGTGAAATATATAACAGCATTTTCCATTTTTTCATTGCTATTTAGATTGCTGTTTCATTGTGCATTATTTTGTTGTTATTGAGAATAGTTAACACATTTATAAGGTTCAACTCCCAAAATCTAAAAGAATCTTGCATAATCGTCTTCTACCTGTTCTCCAACTGCTCTTTTTTTCACACAAGCAAATATACATATTTTATGCAAATAGCAGCATACCATACATGCTGTTTGTATCAGCCATATTTCAGTTGGTGAAGCAGAGCCGTGTGAATACTGTGTATAAAAGATGGGGGCTAAGTCAGTAAAGTGCTTTCCTGGCAAGCATGACACCCTGAGTTCAGTCCCCTGAACTCACATTAAAAAGGCCTGGCATGATGGCACACACTTGTATACCCAGCACTGGGGAGGTAGAGCTAAGCGGATCCCTGGGGCTCACTGGCCAACCAGTCTAGCCTAATTGGGGCTCCAGGCCAATGAGAGGCCCTAACTCAAAGGAGCTGGACAGTGTTCCTGAGGATGAAACCTGAGATTATTCTGTGGTCTCCACAAGCATACACATACATGTACCCACATTCACGTGCACAAACCCATACACACACACACACGGAAGAAGACCATGTACAATTGTAGATGTAACTGAAGAAGAAAGAGTCTGAAAGGGGAGCCTGGAAAACGAGAAGAGGCAGTGATTATGAAACAGTAATACCTTGGTATAAGTCATAGCTCACTAGGGAATCTGGAAATCTGTGCATGTGCAGTTTTAAGTGGAGACCCCCAATGGAATGCTTTACTAGTAAAGAAATTCTTCTGTGTTGTCAAATAGAACTTTCTGTCACAAGGCCTTCTTCAACCCCCAATACCAGAAACAAAATCTTTCTGTGATATTAAAAATGTTTCATTTCTTTTTTTTAACTTTTACAAAAACTTTATTGAGAATTTCATACATGCATATAAAGTGTTTTGTTCAAATCCATGCCCACTTCCTCCCCTCCAACATTCCCCCCTCTGAAGAGGTAACCCTAAAATCTTTTAAGGATTAGATACAAGCTCCCAAATACTTTTGACATTTTTGGCCTTTGGAACTTCCCCCTTCTGAAGAGGTAACCCTAAAATCTTTTAAAGATTAGATAAAAGCCTCCCAAATACTTTTGACATTTTTGGCCTTTGGAACAGAATATGTTGCTGACAGTCCCAAGGACAAAAAAAAATGTTTCATTTCTGTACCATCCAGTGTAGTGGCTGTTAGATTGGCTGTGACCGAAGAACTGGATTTTTAATTAATTTAAATTTAACACATGAGGAGTTACAGAAATATTAGTCAAAGGATAAAAAATTTCAGGAGGAATTAACTTCAAGTAGGGTGACTTGTACACACCAATGTTCTATTTATATTCTAGAATATTGCTAAGGGTAGATTTTGTGTTCTCATCACAAACCTGTGTGGAATAATAAATATATGAATTAGCTTGATTTAGTCATTTGACAGAGTATACATATTTCAAAATAACATTCATGATAAAATATATAATTTTTACTGTCAATTTAAGATAATCAGTTAAAAATAAATAGGAGCCGGTGGCTAGTGGCTCCCATGTTGGACAGGACATTATTAGAAGGCTGTGTCTAGTTGTGAGTCTGAGTTTGCTGTTGACCTACAGACACTACAGATGGCAGAGTCCAACACAGCAGGAGATGCAGTGGATGCAGCCCCTGTAAAGACACCTCTGCATCTGCCTCACTCCCAACCTCAACACCCTAGAGCACAAAGCCTCTGTTTCCCTTCAGCCTCCCAAAATCCCACCTGAATTTCTCTTTCAGTCAGCCCTGATTCAGAATCACACAGAAAAGGGTGTTCTGAGAAACATTCTACCCATTTTGTAGATTGACCAGGTATACAAACCTAACTAAACTGTTTTTCTTGCATAAGAGAAGTATGTGAATGTCTTAACATGTCTGTAACATAAAGAATTCCTGCTTTTTCACATCTGTTGTGGTGCCCATTGTATGAATATATACCACTTGCCACTTAACTGTGTATATTTTACAATTTACTGATGGGACTTTTGTGTTGCTTTCATCTATTGCTGCAGTTTACATGCAGCATCAGATAGCTTTGGATGTTTATGCAGGTATATGCTGGGGGAGTGTTGTGTCAGAGGGTATGTGGTCAAAACTTAAATTTTAAGGAAGAAAAAATATTAAAGGACCTGAAAGAAATAAAAGTGCTAGGAGTGTTTCTCCACCTTGGAATAAGAAGGAACTTTATAATATTGACCCAGAAACCAAAGAAAAGGTTGATATATGTGCTGTCAAAGTGAGCACAAGACTGATAGAACAAATGAGTTGCACTGGCAGGGCGGTGCACGCCTGCCATCCCAGCACTCAGGAGGTGGAGGCAGGAGGAGCATGAGATTGATTCAAGGCCAACCGGAGTCTATAGTGAGACTCTGTCTCTAAATTTATTAATTCCATACAATAGAGCCCATAATCTGACAATTATTTTTTAAACTAAGAAGTCTTTTAATGATATTCTAAGAGAAACTTGCTGTTTTGTAAAACAAATGCCAACCTCATTTCCAATTTTAAACTCTCGGGTTGTGATTGTGTGGACATATTTGGTTATTTCTAACAGGTCCATGCTTCATTGGGAAAAGGGAAAAAAAGATTTTTGTTTTTCCGGTTCTTTCCTCCATTTCTTTCTTCCTTAGACATCTAAGAAAATACACTATAACCAGGGCAGTGATAGCTGGCGTGGACAAGAAGAGGGTAAAAGAGCTGATGAGATGACTCTGCGGGGAAAGGCACCTGCCGCCCAGCCCGACAACCTGAATTCAGTCCCCTGACCCCAAAGGAAAGACCCAACTTCCACAGGTTGTCCCTGCTCTGTGCACATGAAATAAGTGAAAATGTGACTAAATTTAAAAAAGAAAAAAAGGGGCATAGCGCAGGAAGGAAAGCCGTTGCTAGATCTTTCCCACTCACTACCCTCTCTGCAGCTTTGTAAATGTCATCACTAGACCTCATTCAAGGAAGGAAGCACCTCTTACTTGATTATCTCCCACCGCCCCTTCTATAATGACTAGCTCAGAGCCTGGGCCTAAAGTGTTTCTTAATCTTAATCCCTCTGGACTTTAATTCCTCCTTTATAAATTGTAGACATAAAGCTTACTCAGGCTGGTTCTCAAAGATAGCATGGAATAATATTTGGGAAAGGATTTGTTAGCCATAGATAATTTGTATCAACTTAAGGATTTATCTTTTCAAAAGACAACTGAGTTTACAAGGGAAATATGAAGATGGTCACAATAGATACACGATCCCTTAGCTCCAGGCCTGGGAGTCAGGAGACCTGGATTCCGCTGCTCCCTGCCAACATTCTGGACTTGCTAGACTGCAGTGTCCTTGACTGGTAAAGGTGTGCCAGTGTGAGCTGCAGCTTGGCTGCAAAGAAGGCCCTGTGTTGTAGGCGACTTCTAGGACTCGTGGTGCTCTTGCTGTATCTGCCTTCAGTAATTGCGTCCACCTTTACTGAAGCGTGTGGGGTGCTGTGCTGGACACTTTACTATGTCAGCTCTGCTCTAACTCAATTTCCCACCCTTATGTCAGTTTCTTCACTGGTTAAATCTATGTGACAACTATACTAGAAGACATCCTTGAAGAATATTTGAAATATGTGGTTACTGTTCACTGTACCTCATTTTGATTTAGGAAAGAACTGATCTGGACTTGGACTGTAGCTCAGTGGCAGTCTTTGCTTAGTATGTGCAAGGTGCTAGGTTCAGTCCCTAATACTTTGAGAAAAGAAGAGGAGGGAAAGGAGAGGAAGGGAGAAAAAGGAAAAGCAAAGAGAAGAAAAACCTGATCTTATGCCATACTAACAAATTATCGTACTAATAAGATAATAATAAGAGTCTAAAAGAAATGCTTTGTATCTGGTGCCTTTTTTTTTTTTACAGTCAAAATCAGCTGGATTTTTATTAGAGACTCAAAATGCATTTTTAGATTTCTAGAAACACATAGTACTTGCAATAAAGGAAATTGAATCAAGGAATTTAATCTTTCACCTTTTCATTCTCATGACTTTGCTCTTTTACTGCATGCTATTGAGGCCCGAACGACTATTCTCAGACTTTTCAGAACAAGACTGAATAAAGTTGGTTGGTGTGCTAGGGGGAAATACATAGGCATTAAGATCATTAGGATGCAGGGCTAGAGAGCTGGCTCAGTGGTTAAAAGCACTAGCTTCTCTTGCAGAAGACTCAGGTTTGGTTCCCAGCACCCACATGGTGGCTAACAACTGTCCATAACTCCAATTCCAGGGAATCCAGTGCCCTCTTCTGGCCTCTGTGGGCATTGTATGACATGGGTGCACTTACATACATACAAGCAATACACTCATACACAGAAAATAAAAATAAATCAAAAAAATTTTTAAAGGTTATTAGATGTTGATACTTTATTTTTACATTTCCAAAATTTGAAATAGTGTACATTTTCCCCTCAGGAGTTTCTTCTAAAGGGGAAGGAAATCAATTAGAATGTCAGAATCACAGATAAATTACAGACTAGCATTTTAATAAGACATATAATCACACTGATCCTAAACCTTCCTACTAGTTTTGAACATTTACTTTAAGCTTTTTTGTCTTTGTCTGACTGCTGTTACTATTATTATTTCTACAGTGCTGGAGATCAGACCCAGGGTCTCACATGCTGGGTACACCCCCTGCAGAGCCACATCCCAACACGGAGGGGTTTTATTTGCTGTTTTTCTTAATGTTTCCCTCAGCCATGGCCATGTTTGTCATATTTTGACTTCTAAGAATAAAAATGGTGAATATTGATTTCAAAATGATTGAGTTACCCACATAAGAATTTATTTTCTAGATTTGTAGGCAATTCTTTTTTAAAAAAGAACCATAGAACCATTAAGTCAGTTTAATGCTGAAAGATTCCTGTAATGGATGGACATGTCTTGTAACCTTGCCATTGTCTAATGGTCCCAGAATAACAAATCTCCATTTAAGGTGTTCTGGGTTTTGTTGCATTTTAATTTATTTATTTTGTGTGAGTGAGTCTGTGTTTATGGGCACACTTTGCCATGTTGCACATGTGGAGATCAAAGGACAGATTTGAGGAGTTGATTCTCTCCTTCCACGCTGTGAGTCCTCAGGATTGAACTCAGGTCATCAGGCTTGGCAGCAGGTGCCTTAACCCACTGAGCCATCTCTCTGACCCAAGGTATTTAATTTTGTGCTAATAAATAAACCTCTTTCTTTCAGACCTCTTAAGCCATGAAAATGCAGCCACACTGAACGACGTGAAGACCCTGGTCCAGCAGCTCTACACCACTCTGTGCATCGAGCAGCACCAGCTAAACAAGGAGAGGGAGCTCATCGAGAGACTAGAGGACCTCAAGCAGCAGCTGGCTCCCCTGGAGAAGGTGAAAAGTCAAAACTCAGACTTCTGATTTATTTGGATTTTTTTTCCAGTACACGATTCTATTTCTTCTCAGTTTGATCTATTGGGCCCAGTCCATCATATTAGCCCACCCACCTATGGGTCTGAACCATAGAGAAAAATGTTAATCAAAGCCAAAAAACACTTAGGAGGGAATAGCTTGGAACTTGCTAAAGGACTGAGAGCTCTGAGGTCCGTTTGCACTGCCCTTCACCAGATTTGCCACCTTTAATACAAAGACTGGGGTAACTGCTAGTCACGATAGCTGAATATAGTGAATCAAATTATAAGCAAATAGTGTATGTAATACTATATTCAAAGTGATTATGTAGCCCTTATTTACTATAGAAAATACTCATGGCATGTTATAGAAAGTAAATCCGAAAACAGTATGAATATTATGGTCCAGTTTTTTGTTTTAAAGTGGCATTCATTTATTTATTGGGATGAGGGGGTACATGCATGTGTTGGAGCTCAGAGGTCAACTTCTCTTCTTCCATAATGTGAGACCCAGGATTCAAACTCAGGTCATCAAGTTTGGTGGCAAGCCCCTTTACCCACTGAGCCGTCTTGCCAGCCCCCACGATCCAGTTCTTGATGTGTTATTCACATACCTGTATAGATTTATACTCGTACACAAAAAATCAGAAGGTATAAGTCCTACTGGACTAGTGGGATCACAACTGATTTCTTTTTTATTTATTGTTTTTGTATTATGTATATGCATGTATTGTCTGCATGTATGTAAGTGCACCCGTGTCTCGCAATGCCTGCAGGAGAGAGAAGATGGTGTTGGATCCCCTAAAACTGGAATTATGGATGGTTGTTAGCCACCATGTGGGTGCTGGGATTCAAACCAGGGTCTTCCACAAGAACAGACAGCGCTCTTAACCCCTGAGCCATCTCTCCAACCCCTGATCTCTCTCTTTGCCCTTTTCAGAAGGCTTTATAGTGATATTACTCTGCATTTTTCAGCATGACTCAGCGCAGTTGCTGTTCATCTAATGATGGAGGCACATTCTGAGAAACTTGTCTCTAGGTTTCATTATGAGAACCTCATAGAGTATGTTTGTACAAACCTACATGGCATAGGTCAGTCACTCAGCATGGCCTCTTGATACAGTTGGAGATGTGAATCTATGATGTGTGAGGCTGCAGCTTGTATAACAGTAGGCTTCTAAAATAATAGGAAAAAGCATAGTCTGGTAAAAACATATGGCAGTAGTGTGATTGTTTATTATCAAGAATCGTGCAGATACACTCAGCTGTGCATGCTGCCCTATCCTGTGACTCAGTGACCCAGGCCTTTTTTTTTTAACACCAGCTTCACTACTGGCATGTGAGTCATGTATTGTGCTAGGATGTTATAACAGCTATACTGTTGCTAGGTGGTAGGAATTTTTTAGCTCCATCATTGTCCTGTGGAACCACATACAGTTTATCACTGACCAAACACTGGTATGTAGCATATGACTCTTCATTTTAAGACATTAGATTATTGAGATTGAGGAAAGGAAAAATACTTTTAGTTTTGTGCCTTTTCTGATTTCTTAAAATTATTGCCATGTATTATTTAGTGCATGCCATGAATTGTACTAAGTGCCTGCATTCCCTTATTAAATCTTCAGAATTACTCTGGAACGGAGTTAGTGGTGTTTTGCAGATCTGGACTCTGAACACAGCCGCTCAGGTGGATTCTGATCTGTGCCGACTCACTCTCTTGTTCTGCCCCTGGAAAAATACTTGAGCTAAAGCTGATAGTAGATTGCATCTGGCACACAGTAAGCAGCCGTTGCTGTTTTCATCTCCCCTTTCAGAGAAGGTGGCCTTGTGCTTGTGAAGAGCTATTCAAATCCTCTCCCATATTTTTACCTCCTTCCAGGGTGAAACTTTTGCATAAAAACCTTCATTGTTCTGTAAGATGTTTTTCTCAGTGAATACTACAGGTATTATTTAGGAAGACAAATTATTTTTTACTAGAACTGAATCTAACTTGTGTCTTGATCAAGCCATATCTTTGGTGGACATAGGCAGTTTAAATAAGAGTTTTAAATTGGTTCCATATCAAGTGCTTATGATTGTGCCTATGTGCCCAACAGGTTCGAATTGAAATTAGCAGAAAAGCAGAGAAGAGGACCACTTTGGTGCTATGGGGTGGCCTTGCCTACATGGCCACACAGTTTGGCATTCTGGCCCGGCTCACCTGGTGGGAGTATTCCTGGGACATCATGGAGCCGGTCACCTATTTTATCACGTATGGAAGTGCCATGGCCATGTATGCATATTTTGTAATGACACGCCAGGTAAGCATTCCACTCCAAATAGCTTTCTACGAAATGGGAACAGTTTGGTGGTCACTGTAGTGCTCTTTTCTCACATTCTTTCTGAGACCAGTTCCCTTTAAGTGCTCACTGATTGATCCTTTGTACACCCATGCATGTGCATACGTGTGTCAGTTATGTATCAGCACTGCTGTAGGTGCTAATGATAGAGAGGCAAGTATATGGCATGGCTGCTGCCCTCATGGAGCATCTCAGCCATTGAGAGAGAGTCATATCAGGGGCTGGAGAGATGGCTCAGCAGTTCAGAGCACAGGCTGCTCTTGCAGAGGACCTGGGTTTGAATCCCAGAAACCACATGGCGGCTAACAACCATCCATCCAGAACTCCTCTGCTCTGCACCCACACAGTGTATTTACACACATGTAGGCAAACATTCATACACACATAAAATAAAAATAAATAACTTTTTGAAGTAAAAATTTGATTTTATTAACATTAGTAGAGAATATGCTCTAGAAAGTGGAGGTAACTGGACATAAAATTATGGCAGCAATTTAATAGAACAGTCCCAGATGGTTAGCTGAGGGCGACATCTAGTGAGGACAAAAGTCTTGACTGTGGAGAATTTTGGATGATACTTGCAAAAATATTACACTGTGCATAAACCAAATTGAATTGTTTTCACAAGAGTTGTAAAGTTTCATAAAGGAAAAGTTTTTTTCCTACATGCACTTCAATTTCACAGCAAGAGTGGCATAGAGTACCTCAACACAGAAGAAAGCATTCATGCAAGATATCTAATGCCTTGATATAATAAATAATGCATACACTTCAAAATGATTACACTATCATTACACCTAGGGCTTTCTCAACTATGAGGTGGTGGTCATGGAAAGCATGGCCCCCAATTTCAACATCTAGAAAGCAGCCACCACCACCACCTTCTACGTGTCTTCTCTTTTTGCATTTTTTCTTCTTCATTTTTCTTAATCAACTCTGCTGTTATTGCTGCTTCTTAGCAAAACTGGGGCGAAGAAAGCACTGTGCGATGCTTAGAACTCTGATTAATAAACAAGGTGGTCACAGATTTTCCTGGCTTGAATACTTCCACAACTTTCCTGATCGGGGGTCATCATAGGAGGTCTGACGTAGGTTTGTTTCAAAGCTAATATAAGAAAATTCTGGTTCTGGAGTGATGCAAATAGTCCATTAAGTTCCATCCGATTTCATTCCATTCATCGAATAGCCACAAGGATTGAACAGTGTGGCATCAATGACAGAACCTGGTATCAGGTCATGAATTCCACTCTCACAAGTGCCATCCTTTGCAGTAACACCATCTTTCATGTAGAACTGGTCCATAACTGCTGGGTCAAACTCACTCATCAGAATTTCCAGGGTTTGATCTGGCTGATTGATTACTTGGCTCTCTGGGAAATCCAAAGAAAACAAGTACCAACAGTCAGAATTCATATGTCCCATACAATATGCTGCTCCATTTGGGAAAATCGCATTAAAAAACTGTTTCTTCCTGGAAATTCTGGTGTGGGTACCCTTGGTGAGAAGACTTCATGAAATTCGTACAAGAATAAAAGAAGCTTTGACGGCTCAGTGGTTAAGAGCACTGGCTGCTCTTGCAGAGGACCCAGGTTCGATTCCCAGCACCCACATGACAGCTACAAACCGTCCTTAACTCCAGTTCCGGGGAATCCAAAGCCCTCTTCTGACCTCCGCAGCATTGCACAACACAGGTGCACTCACATACATGCAGGCAATACACTCATACACATAAAATA